TACTTTTTCTTAGTTTAATACAAGGGACAAAAAACAAATAGTATATATATATATATATATATATATATTACATTTTATTTTTACAACTTTTAATATATCATTATCTGAACCATAAGTTCTTTCTTGATTTGTTTATAATGACATTAATAATATCTGGAATTCTGATGTTTTACTACATACTTCAAATTTGATAGTTCAGGCATTAACCCTTTTGCATTGTGTAGGTTAAAGTGCACATGTCACAACCTTTTACAAAGTTACATTCAAAATTTAATTAAACTACTTTACTATCAATGTATATCAACAAACTTGGCATCCAAATCTAGCTAGTAAATCAAATTTTAATATTATATAAGTTTTAATATCTCAATTTTATCAGGAAATATTTAAAAAAAATCCTTAATCTCCCCTAGTATGAAAATTGTGACATTTGTTTTTTAAGTTTTCCCTCTTCTTAATGTAAATTACTCATTATAATACAGTTATTACTCAGGCAAAGCATAATTTTTATAATCTTTAACTCTCTTGCTACAGGCTCGGCCAAATTGGCCTTGTTCGTGATCCCAAATTGACCATTATAGTTTCTATACTATAACTTCTAATATACTTTGTGTATCTTCACAAAATTTTGCAAGCTTTCAGTAATCACTAAGAGTTACTTGTAGACAAAAAATCAGAATTTTTAATTAAGTATTTTGACTGAAAATTTCTCCATGAATAAGTGGAGTTAAAAGTGTTGACTGTTCAAAGTACAAAGTGATTTTCATAATAAGATCAAAAACACTTTTTTTTCATCTGAAAAATCTCAGATTGTACTTACATAATCTCTAAAATGTCCTAAATAAATTTCAAACTTTTTTTTCTACTCGCGAGTTGCTTGTGGCCATAACTTGTGAAGATTTTTGTTACTATTATTATTATTTATTTTACCTAATATAATCTTTTCTAACGTAAAATGTTTCTAGTTTGTACGTTTTAGTTACTTTTATAATTATAAATAAAGAATTCACATGAAATAAAATAATTTTTTTTACTGTCCACCATTGATGATATTTAATCCACTTTTTTATACTAATGGTAGTACTGCACTTATTACATAATTAGGAAGCCAGAAAATTATGATAGTTATAGGACATTGTCTGCTTTTTTACATATGTTATTTTTTGGTGTTCTTATGTGCAGTATTTAATTGAATAAAAAATATTATTTAGTGTGGTAGTACCTTTAGTCTTAAAAAAAAAAGTAGGCTTAAGTTTCCTCTACAGTAAACAGCAAAAAAAAGACAACCCCGGTAAGTACTACATTTCTTGTTTTTTATGTTTATTCTTTATTTATTATTATCATCATAGTAACTAAAATATAAAAATTATCAACTTATGAGGTTAGATTAGGAAAGATAACAAAAATTAACATTGATAAAAATTCTTCACAAGGTGTGCTTGCAAGTAGCTCGTGTGTTACATAATTTGATAGGATAACATGAGCTACATGTTCACCAAGTGAGTTACAACTTATATGGCAGAATTGTTTTAGACATGGTTCAAAAGGCAATAAAATTAAGTATAAATAGATGTAAACTGTTACAAACATTAAGATATTTAGGTTGAACAATTTTGGTTTCCTGTTACAATTTGCAATCAATCCAGAAAGAAAAAAAGGGTAATTTAGAATTATTTGCTAATTTTTTTTTTGTGTTGGTTATGAGGTCAGTCGATTTGACCAACCTTGTTTAGAGTTATACTATAGAAAATAACAAATAAAATGTAATGTTCTACAGAAAAAAAAACATTTGATATTTATTTAGGACGTTTTAGGGATTTAATCTTAACATGAAAATCACATTGCACTCGGAGCAATCAATACTCTGATACCATATAATTATGGACAAAATTTTAGTAAAAATACTTCATTAAGAATTTTGATTTTCTGTCTACAAAAGACTTCTAACATTTACAGAAAGCTTACCAAATTTTATAAAGATACGTAGTCATAATAAGTATACCACAGTGGTTACATGGTGATTACTAGGTCATGTGAAATATGCGAGCCTGTTGCAATGGGGTTAACCCTCTTCATATAGGTAGTTGTTTATAGTATGTATATCATGACTTTTTACAGAGTTACATTCAAACTTAACTAAACTACTTTTATTATCAATGTATATGAATAAACATGGCATCAAACATAGTTAATAAATCATATTTTAATATTATACAAGTTTTAGTTTCTTAATTTTAAAAGGATATATTTAAATAATATTCTCAATCTCCCCTTGTATGTGTATCGTAACATTTGCTCACTCTGACTAACCCATATTGTTTGTTTTTGTCACCATTCTCTCATGTCCTGAGTTTAATGTAAAATGCTTATTATAGTATAAATATCACAAAGGCATAGTCTATTTTTTGTAGCCTTTAATCTTTGTTAACTCTTTGAACCCAGGCTTGGTCTAAACACTTATTTTTTATGTTATAATTTGTGTTCATTCTAGAATGAAAGAGGCATAATTTATATTTATTTCCTAATTTTTTATGGTGGTTGTGAGATTGGTCAAATCTACTGAACCTGTACAGAGATTAATTACTGAAAATAACAGATATAATATAAAGTTTTTGCTTAAGAAACATTTGATAACTATCTCGACATTATAAAGATTTTGCATGTGAAATTTCAAAATATTCTGATGCATAAAAGTATTTCTGCAACATGCGAAAAAAAAAAAATAGACATGAGAAAAACCTAGCTTTATAAACCTTAAGACATAATAAACTTCTTGTTTTTTACAAAAATTTTTTATTTATTGCTATAAATTGTAAAAATAAAAAAAATTCTCCACATAATATGCTCATGAATAGCTGTGTACTCTGTTATTTACTATGGTAACTTGAGTTGTTATGCATTTGCCATGTGATTTATAGTTTGAATCATAGGATTATTAGTTGACATGGTTCAAAGAGCAATAAAATGATAAAATAAAATGAAAACAAATGTAAACTGTTATGAACAACAATCTGTTTAGGAAAAAGAATTGTAATGTCTTTTATTACAGTCTGCAGTTATTTTAGAAAAAAAGGTAATACAGATTAATTTTATATTTTTTGTGGTGATTACAAGGTTGGTTAAATTGACTGAAACCATATAGTGTTAGTGGTGGAGAACATAATGTATAAAATATATTTTTCCTTAAAAAAAGTTTGATATTTATTTAGGAGGATTTAGAGATTACTAGACCACCGTGACCCGTTGGGTCAACCACTATTCAGAGGTTATGAAGAATTCAAGCTAATTTCAATATTACACCAAAATGAAGGCTTATTTTGAGATAATTTAATTAAATATTTCAATCCATTCGTGTTATTCGTAATTCAAGAAAAGATATTTGATTGTTGATTGGGAGTAAAACGAAAGACCATTCCATTTT